TCCTAACTCAACAAAAGCCTCCCACTTCCTGACCTGGCTGACCTGGCTCTGCTCCCTCTTGCCAGGTCCGGGTCCCTGGTCCAGATGCTGCAGCCTCCTCCCCGATCCCTGATCCCGGAGCCCCGACCCCAGGGCCAGCTCTCCTGCTGTCTCCCCTCTCCAGACTGACCATTTCCACCATTTCCTCTATGCTCCCTGTTATCCCTGCGTCCTGGCACCTCACAGCTGCAGGCTCCAGCTGCTCACATCTCCACTCTCCTGCCCACTCAGCCCCAATTTTCCTCCCCTCTGATCCCAGGATCTGCTGCCTCCCAGCGAAGATGAAATATTCAGCGATTACAGTCAGTAAGCCCTAAGCATATGCAAATGGATCTTTTTGAGAAGGCTTGTATCCTGGCTAAATTCAGATGCTTTGTCATGCAAATGGAAGAAAGACACATCTCTGGAATCAAATCCCTCATCCTTCTTCAACCAGATTTCAAGTGTTTGGAAGGAGAGGGGTATCACTGGTCTTCCACGGTAAAAGTTTAGAAAACTCTCAAAACATTGCAAAACACCTATTGTCTTTGCCCAATTTTCAAAATGGGCCGCATTTCAACTGAACTTTTACACACAACAGAAGTTAAATGAATCGGCACAAGGCTTAAATATTGCATCGCAACATTTCCACCCAAACACTGTAAGTTTGGCAAAGTTACAGGAATCTTGGCTGCTTTATTACTTGTGACAGTATCATATGCCTGTAATTTAAGTGGAATGATTTTCTTCTGTGTACCTGTTTAATCTGAATGGCAGCACATCCATTACCCGAAGCATTTTCATGTGCTCCCAAGACACCTGTGCAGAGTAAATGAGCACCTGAAGCACATGGCCAATAATAAATACTGATAAATAGCTACTATTTCCAGAGCCCTCCCTTCTACACAGTTTATTAAAATGTATATGCTTCTAAAATGCCTGATGTTCAGAGACTCCTTGAGCAGCAGAATTGCAAACTTTTACAAGTTAGACCTGATGGATACATATCAAACCCAAACTTTTTATAAAAGAGGCAGGATTAAACTACCAGATTTGTCTTCAGAAGGGGGAAGGGGTGAGAATTAATGCATCTTTTACCACCAAAAACTTAAAAATCCAGCCGGCCACTTCCCAGGGATGAGTAGCAAATTCATCACTGAAGCCAGTTAATTTTTATCTGAATCTTATTTTTACATGGCAAACCTTGCAGTCAAAAAGGTGACTTAACTATGTAAACTCGTGCAATGCAGTCTTTTTTTTAATCTGAAGGGAAAAAAAAAATGAAATAAGACACCCAAGGAACTCCGCTCATACAAAGGAACTGTACATACAAACAGACACCCTCTCAAAACGGACCTGAAGAGATGCTGTATTTTGATAAAGCGTCCATTTATAACAAATTAAGTCGCAGTCTCCAGTCATCCAGTTAGTTTTTAACTAAAATCTGGGTGTCTGCCAAGCCCAAAGAAGATTAAGGGCTTCTTGGGAAGAGGACTAGTTTGGAAGACCGCTGGAATACGAAGAAAACGGAACTCAAAACATATATTCCCACCAGAATTTAGTTTTCCTTGTATGTCTGTTAGAACTGCTTTTCTACATATATATTTTTAACTTGAAGTATTATTTATATATAAACAGATAGATAAATTTGCAGATGGAACTTGTGTGGTCTGGTCCTTTTTTTCCTCAAAGATTAAAAGTTTAGAGTGTTCCACCATTCTGTGAAGTGTTGGCAGGTCCAAGCCTCTAATCTGAAACAGCCCTATTTTAAGGAATAAGGGGGTGAAAAAATGAAGAAATATTGTTCACAGTTGCTGTGAAGAGGTAACAATAGAGGATGTGAGGATACTTTTTTGTCTTTTTTTCCTTTGACAATGCAGTCGGGTGGTGAAGAGCTACTGTTTAACACAATTTTTCCATCCTTGAGCAAGGGGACGGACACGGCCCAGAATGAAGGCAGAGCTGTTCCACAGAGAGAGGAAGGGGCGCAAAGACTCTTGTGATTTTTGTCTCTTCACCGTCCTCAAGCCTCACAGGTATCGTGTGCCCCCACCTGAAGTGTTTTACCCAGCTGGCACAAAATTGGGCACTGCTGCCCCCAGATTCATCCACCCACACTTCCCGTGTGTGGTGAAGCTAAAGAACACGGGCGGTTTGTACCCAGAGGTCAAGCAGAAGGGACAAAGAGAGGGACCATAAAACAAATGCCATCTTGGAACTGAAAATTTGCCAAGGGCTATTACAAATGGCTGGCAAAACTTGTTCGTTTTTATAGTAATTACATAACCTCAAAGGACACAAATACTGAATGCAGCACACAGCAAGACACCGTCCTACAAGACACGCTTGGCACCGGGTTGTTCTGTAAAATATATCACAACAAATATCACAAACAGCAGCTGAACAACACACATCTTTTCCACACTTGGTAAATAAGCTTTTCACACCCTGGTCCTCTCACTGGCACACATCCTCATGGGGAACAGACAGGGTCCACATAAGCAGGCCATTAAAAACTGAGGGAGTGTAGTATTTTAAAGAATTTATTTCCTCAATTATTACAAGTGTGTTTTGGAGATTGGTTAATGTCTACATATTTTAGGCACTTAAAATCTTGAGACACACCAGTGTTCAGCTGAACAGTCTGTTCTAAAAACTTTGATATTAAACATAATTACAATCCCACTCTTCTTGATTAAATAAGTACTTATTGTATCAGTCAAACATATGTATTTTTCCTCTGTGGTTTCCAAATGAACACAATCTCATGCCGAAGTCAGAGCTCTATTTTTGTAGTGATGTTTAATTGGACAGCCACTTCTTTTTGAGCGGAATGAAAACTCATGTGTTACCTTTGGACAAGCATTTCATGGCCGTAAAACAATGCCCTAAGAGGGGAAAAAAATGCAATCACCGTTTTTTGGAAGTCAGAAAGAGAGCATATGAAAATGGCAAGGATGTGATCTGATCAGAAGGAAGAAAGTTTAACAGGTGAAACAACAAAAAAATCTGGAATGTAGACTATACATAACGGTATTCCACATCATAAAGCAAGTCTCAAAGCTTTTTTATCTTTTTTTTTTTCCCAATGGATGAAGGAAGACAGGGGTAGAAAAAGGATGCTTCTAACTCCCAGCTGAGTTAATTTGTAAGGAGATGCAACCATGCAGTTTCTGACCTGTCAGGTCCACGATCTAAAAACAAACCATTTCGGTGTTTTGTGTAAAATAATCTACACGTGAGGAGCCCACATTTCCAGCTGTTAGCTCTGAGTGGGATACAACGTGTATTTAAATCGAACAGCACCATCTAGCAGGTCCTCACAACTTTACTTAGGAGGGCAGTTGCTACTTGACAACACGTCAGTTTAGCAGGCTTGCCCTGAAAATTATTACATATTTTCAGACCAAACGAAATATTATGTGCTTTACAGCACCAAGAAGCCGAAGAAAAATCAGCTACAATGAAAGAGTACGATTGAAAACTGTTTAAAGTTTCAGCCCCACGACCAGAGCACTTGTGTGTGTGGCTAGCACTGAGCAGCTTTTGCAAAACAGAATTAAAACAACATGATCCTCATCCGATCCAATGCACAGCAGCCCTATGGATTTGTTTTCAGTCCCACTGTGAGATCCCACTGCGCCCTTCAGTGATTTACCGAGTGTATTGACAAACACCAGCAGCCATGTACCGCGAGGAAATGGTTTAATTCCCTAATTTTGCTAAGACAAAATAAACAGTGCTTCCACGAGCCGGTTAAGCAATTATTTTTAAAATTATCCCTCCGCTGGAACTAAGAAGTGCCACTAGTTGATCAGATTTCAGAGTCAAAGTTGTGTCTCCCGCTCCATCTCAGCAATTAAAGCTCCCCGTCAGTGCTGCCTCTGTCTCCCTCCACTTTCCCGTGGCAAAGTTAGGTGTGAAATTGTCAAACGCCTCAAATTCCCCTTCTCCCGTAGAAACAGAGATGCCTGGCCTGCTGCTGTTGCAGGAACCGTGCATGCCAGCCTCTAAAGTCTTAAAAAAA